TTAGTGACAAATTAGTGACTATATATATATATATATATATAAATATTCTTAATTTGTCAAATTATCTAATGAGTTCGTTTGAGAAAAGATAATTGTTATGTATTGTGGTTTTAACATAAAGAATATATATATAGATATATTGTAATTGCAATATTCAAAACAGGCAGATTGCCTCTTAAGTATGAAAACCTTTTAATTTTTCGAGTTGATCTTATGCTGTCAGCAGATGCGTGACTGAAATTGTGGATGTTCTGATGCAATGACAAGCATCTGTCAATTTATCCACAGTTCTCCACCCCATCTTCCATGTGACTTATTGAGGCTGCATCAGGAAAACGTACATAAGCTCTGCTTTCTGCCATAAGTTTAAAGTTTCTTGTTGATGGTCATTGCTTTTAGCTTTGCTACAATGAAGTTGGAAGCCTCTGTTAATTATAATGTACACACTACCAACAGTTGTTATTGATCGACATATTGGAGGCATTAATGCCAAATTGTTTGCTGGTGTTCCAGGCAGGATTCACGATCGTGTAGGTGCTTGAGTTGTAGAACACCTACCATTTTCACACCGTTTTGAACAAGATGGATTTTTGGCTCCATTTAGACGATTCTGTACTTGAGTCTTTACTTCTGATACTTGGAATGTCACTGATGTCTTTAGCAGCCAGTAAAATATTAATAGCTTTCATTTTTCTCAATGTTCATCAAGTGAATGGACTTTTAGTGGGGTCAACTTCCACTGTTCGTATTACTTCTCAGTTTCTTGATACTTAGGTTGGTCATTGGTGGTTATTGGAAATTTGTGTATCTTTTTAATGTAATGGCTTTTAAGTCCGGTTACAAGAAGTTTCAGAATAATTGAAATCTCGTATTTTCTGAAAACCAATCTAGCAGCACAACAAAGTCTTGAATATTGAATTCCTTAGTTTTTTTGTTGATGTTTTTGTTACACTTAAATTCATGCTTCAACAAGCTCTAGTACCAATTAAATCTCTAGATTGTGGTAACTGTGATACTAGCTCAATATGTTTTAGAATTAAACAAAGTTTTAGATTTTTTACGTTAACAATGAAATTTTATTGCAGCCCTGTCACTGAAGGAGCGTACAGTTTTGCAAACTATGGTATCACTAATGCTATAGGAGTAATTGCCTTTGGTAAGCTTATTTTTTTCTTATAAGCTACGTATGTTATCTAGATTCGAAAATACTAAATCTTTACAAAATTTGTTTTCTACTTTCGCAATGATAAAAATATCCAATTTTTAAAAAACTGTGTAATCAAAAAGACTAAGTATTTTTTAATACTTGCAAGTTGTTAAATAAGCATGATTGTTTGTTGTTATGTTATGAACTATTACATTTGTATGTATTCATCCATGGGCGTGGAACTAAAAATACAGTGCATGTGTAAAAGCGTTATTAATAAGTTTTTCAGAAAAACACAGTGCATATGTAATATCAATAATCATGAAAACAGTAGAAAGGTTTTCAACACAGTATTTTTCTACATTAAAGAAAGTATTTCAATACATAGTAGATAACTGTAATTTTTAGTACTGTGCTTCTTGTCTCAACTGAATGTTTGGAATAAATTATACAGTTTAATATAATATGGTTATTAAGATGGTCTTAATTGAACAAGCCCCAAAATACAGTGCAGCAACTTTTACTCTAAGTACCAACAAATAAAATGCTATTTTTTTTTTTTGTATATTCATTGAGAAGAGAGAATAAACTTTAGTTTATAATAGTTATTTATATATATATATGCGTAGGATATTTTAAACAATAGTTCACATTTGTATAGTTTTATTGTTAAAGTGGTATTTTGTACAGTTTCAATATATCTGTGGTTTACTTTATTTGTCAGCATACATGTGCCATCACAATTCTTTCCTGTTATATGCTGCTTTGGAGAACCCCTCACAGAAACGATGGAATCAGGTGACCCACATCAGTATCAGTGCTGCTTGCATGATGATCTTGGTCTTTGGAATCTGTGGCTATGTCACTTTCACAGGATTTAGTCAAGGTATTTCTAATTTAATATAGGATACTTCTGTATGTTGCGTTTGACAACAGATCAAAACGAAAAATTTTATCTACACAATGTGTAAAGAACCTCAACCTTTTTTGGTGTCAAGTGCACACCTGCGTGTGAAATTTCAAAATATTTGTAAAAATTAGAATTCTGTGTTTCAACGATGTTTACTCGGTGATATTTTAGAATTGATATTTTATGTTCTAACATTCATTATGTGAAATTTGCGAAAAAGTTCAAACTTGAATTTTTGCACAGCTCCAAGAAGTTTTGCCTGTAAACAGTACACTTATTGATTTTATTTTCTTATATTCCACAAGATTTCATTCCTCCAAATTTTTTTCTCTTAAATTATAACACTTGTTTGAACATTTTCTTGTACAATAAGACATCAGGTAAGCTTAGTTAGGCTTAGAGAGTATACTAGATGATGGTAGAATATTGTGATGACTCAAACGTAACTCAACTCCTTATCTATTCAAAATTATTGTTGAGTTTATCATATTACAGCAACACATATAACTAAAAGAAATTATTATTTATCGAAAATAAAGTATATTTATTAGATTTCAACCAAGAATATTCTTACCTAGTATGACATATATATATATATATATATATACCGTGAAGTTGTTAGGTTAAGAATAAACATATAATATTGGAATGTATTTGTATTCAGTTAAAGTGCCATTAATCTACTTGAACTTTTACAGCTATTTTGAGAAACACTAATATTTTTATACAGGCGATCTTCTAGAAAATTACTGCATGGATGACGATTGGGCTAACGTTGCACGTTTACTATTTACCATAACCATAATGCTGACTTATCCTATTGAGTGTTTTGTTACGAGAGAGGTATGGTCTCTTTTTTTTTTTTTTTTGTTGTAATAAGAAGTATTTTCTATTACTTGTACAGAAAACTGTAATAATAGACACAAATGGGTCAAGTTTTTTATCCTTGTATAAGTTATAGCATGTACTTGCATGGTGTAATAATGATGTATGGATAAATATATATCCCACCTCCTCAGATAAATGTTTGAAAGAGGAAATTATGAACATGTTCTTTTGTGTGATTGAGCAGGTAAAATGTCAAGAACGAATCTACTCCAGGTGAATCCCTTTCTTTGACATATTGAATAAATTCTGTTGGTTTTCCTATACTGTTTCTCTTCTATTTGAATGCTTTTGTTTTATGTCTTTATATTTGAAATATGTTAACATAGATATATTTATTTGTGTTTATGTATTTCAGATTCACATCTTTTAAAATATGCTCTGATGTAAGTTATAATTAACACTGTAGACTGTCTTTCATGGTTTGTATGGTTATTATAATGGACACGTGTAAGTTCAGTTAATGTACAGTATAATGAACTTTAATTGAAATAGTCGATAATTAGTCTTAAGTAATGAAAAATTGAATAGATAAATAAATTTTTCAAAATTAATAAATAGTAAACAGAAAATACAAGTAACTGTGTGAATAGCATGATGTTTTTAGTTGTCTCTTACATGCCTTAGTGAACTTATATGTTGTTAATTTAGTCCAATCTGTTTTATGATTAACCACTCGTCAATGAGTTGTACTGGTCTGGGGGAACTCCATTCGTCATCGGTAACCCCAAACAAAACAAAAAATATAACTAGGCTTCTTATAGTGGTCAAAATTACTTTTATTATCTCACACAGCTTCTTTAATGAATAATTGAGAATGATATATAAGTAACATCAATGATACTTATCTTTCAGATCCTATATAAAAATATTTTCACTTTGTCAAATAAAACACAACTAAAAACATGTTGTTTGCTTCACAGAGCTTCACAACAGCTCAACTGTTGGTATTGAAGTTATAAAAGTTCTGGGGAACTCCGCCCCTCCCTAAAAATAATGTTACAAATAAAATATTTACATTAAGCTCCAGAACAATTCCAAGGCAGTCGGTAAGAGTAGAAAATCCAAACGTAGTAGCAACAATCAGAACAGTAACAACCGAGTGTCTCAGCATGGACGATGGTTGACTACTAGCAAAGAAAGCAATTTCCACCACCTACAAGTAAATCTGTTCTTTAGTAAATGTTCAGGCTTTCCATATTTCATAAGAAACATCTCGACAATTTCTTAGAATTTGCTTCATGCACTGTACAAGACCTCACCACTGAAGGTAATAAT